AGACACACATCATTGAGACACACATCATAGAGACACACATCACTGAGACACACAACAGAGACACACATCACTGAGACACACAACACTGAGACACACATCACTGAGACACACAACACTGAGACACACAACACTGAGACACACAACTCTAAGACACACATCAAAGAGACACACAACACTGAGACACACATCAAAGAGACACACATCATTGAGATACACAACACTGCGACACACATCACTGAGACACACATCACTGAGACACACAACACTGAGACACACAACACTGAAATACAGATCACTGACACACACAACACTGAGACACACAACACTGGGACACACATCAAAGAGACACACATCATTGAGATACACAACACTGCGACAAACATCACTGAGACACACATCACTGAGACACACAACACTGAGACACACATCAAAGAGACACACAACACTGAGACACACATCAAAGAGACACACAACACTGAGACACACATCATTGAGATACACAACACTGACACACACATCAAAGAGACAAACAACACTGAGACACACATCACTGAGACACACAACACTGAGACACACATCATTGAGACACACATCACTGAGACACACAACACTGAGACACACATCACTGAGACACACAACTCTGAGACACACATCAAAGAGACACACAACACTGAGACACACAACTCTGAGACACACATCAAAGAGACACACATAAAAGAGACACACAACACTGCGACACACAACACTGAGACACACATCAAAGAGACACACAACACTGAGACACACAACACTGAGACACACATCAAAGAGACACGCATCACTGAGACACACAACACTGAGACACACATCACTGAAACACACAACACTGAGACACACATCATTGAGACACACAACACTGCGACACATTTCACTGAGACACACATCAAAGAGACACACAACACTGAGACACACATCACTGAGACACACAACATTGAGACACACATCACTGAGACACACAACACTGAGACACACATCATTGAGACACACATCACTGAGACACACAACACTGAGACACACATCACTGAGACACACAACTCTGAGACACACATCAAAGAGACACACAACACTGAGACACACAACTCTGAGACACACATCAAAGAGACACACATCAAAGAGACACAACACTGCGACACACAACACTGAGACATACATCAAAGAGACACACAACACTGAGACACACATCAAAGAGACACACAACACTGAGACACACATCAAAGAGACACGCATCACTGAGACACACAACACTGAGACACACATCACTGAAACACACAACACTGAGACACACATCATTGAGACACACAACACTGCGACACATTTCACTGAGACACACATCAAAGAGACACACAACACTGAGACACACATCACTGAGACACACAACACTGAGACACACATCACTGAGACACACAACACTGAGATACACAACACTGAGACACACATCAAAGAGACACACATCATTGAGACACACAACACTGAGACACACAACACTGAAACACAGATCACTGACACACACAACACTGAGACACACAACACTGGGACACACATCAAAGAGACACACATCATTGAGATACACAACACTGCGACACACATCACTGAGACACACATCACTGAGACACACATCAAAGAGACACACAACACTGAGACACACATCAAAGAGACACACAACACTGAGACACACATCATTGAGATACACAACACTGACACACACATCAAAGAGACAAACAACACTGAGACACACATCACTGAGACACACAACACTGAGACACACATCATTGAGACACACATCACTGAGACACACAACACTGAGACACACATCACTGAGACACACAACTCTGAGACACACATCAAAGAGACACACAACACTGAGACACACAACTCTGAGACACACATCAAAGAGACACACATAAAAGAGACACACAACACTGCGACACACAACACTGAGACACACATCAAAGAGACACACAACACTGAGACACACAACACTGAGACACACATCAAAGAGACACGCATCACTGAGACACACAACACTGAGACACACATCACTGAAACACACAACACTGAGACACACATCATTGAGACACACAACACTGCGACACATTTCACTGAGACACACATCAAAGAGACACACAACACTGAGACACACATCACTGAGACACACAACACTGAGACACACATCACTGAGACACACAACACTGAGACACACATCATTGAGACACACATCACTGAGACACACAACACTGAGACACACATCACTGAGACACACAACACTGAGACACACATCATTGAGAGACACATCACTGAGACACACAACACTGAGACACACATCACTGAGACACACAACTCTGAGACACACATCAAAGAGACACACAACACTGAGACACACAACTCTGAGACACACATCAAAGAGACACACATCAAAGAGACACAACACTGCGACACACAACACTGAGACATACATCAAAGAGACACACAACACTGAGACACACATCAAAGAGACACACAACACTGAGACACACATCAAAGAGACACGCATCACTGAGACACACAACACTGAGACACACATCACTGAAACACACAACACTGAGACACACATCATTGAGACACACAACACTGAGACACATTTCACTGAGACACACATCAAAGAGACACACAACACTGAGACACACATCACTGAGACACACAACACTGAGACACACATCACTGAGACACACAACACTGAGATACACAACACTGAGACACACATCAAAGAGACACACATCATTGAGACACACAACACTGAGACACACAACACTGAGACACACAACACTGAAACACAGATCACTGACACACACAACACTGAGACACACAACACTGGGACACACATCAAAGAGACACACATCATTGAGATACACAACACTGCGACACACATCACTGAGACACACATCACTGAGACACACATCAAAGAGACACACAACACTGAGACACACATCAAAGAGACACACAACACTGAGACACACATCATTGAGATACACAACACTGACACACACATCAAAGAGACAAACAACACTGAGACACACATCACTGAGACACACAACACTGAGACACACATCATTGAGACACACATCACTGAGACACACAACACTGAGACACACATCACTGAGACACACAACTCTGAGACACACATCAAAGAGACACACAACACTGAGACACACAACTCTGAGACACACATCAAAGAGACACACATAAAAGAGACACACAACACTGCAACACACAACACTGAGACACACATCAAAGAGACACACAACACTGAGACACACATCAAAGAGACACACAACACTTAGACACACAACACTGAGACACACATCAAAGAGACACGCATCACTGAGACACACAACACTGAGACACACATCACTGAAACACACAACACTGAGACACACATCATTGAGACACACAACACTGCGACACATTTCACTGAGACACACATCAAAGAGACACACAACACTGAGACACACATCACTGAGACACACAACACTGAGACACACATCACTGAGACACACAACACTGAGACACACATCATTGAGACACACATCACTGAGACACACAACACTGAGACACACATCACTGAGACACACAACTCTGAGACACACATCAAAGAGACACACAACACTGAGACACACAACTCTGAGACACACATCAAAGAGACACACATCAAAGAGACACAACACTGCGACACACAACACTGAGACACACATCAAAGAGACACACAACACTGAGACACACATCAAAGAGACACACAACACTGAGACACACAACACTGAGACACACATCAAAGAGACACGCATCACTGAGACACACAACACTGAGACACACATTACTGAAACACACAACACTGAGACACACATCATTGAGACACACAACACTGCGACACATTTCACTGAGACACACATCAAAGAGACACACAACACTGAGACACACATCACTGAGACACACAACACTGAGACACACATCACTGAGACACACAACACTGAGATACACAACACTGAGACACACATCAAAGAGACACACATCATTGAGACACACAACACTGAGACACACAACACTGAGACACACATCATTGAGACACACAACACTGAGACACACAACACTGAGACATACATCACTGAGACACACATCATTGAGACACACAACACTGAGACACACATCATTGAGACACACAACACTGAGACACACATCATTGAGACACACAACACTGAGACACACAAGTAAGTAATATTTATTTATGTAGCGCTTTGATCACCCAAAGCATTCATTCATTACATTCAGTTCACAAACTCCACACAGAAAGGCCCTGTTTCAGCCAGTATTCAAACCCAGGACTTTCTTGCTGAGAAGCGAGAGTGCTAACCACTCAGCCACTCAGGGGATGACAATCAGAGCTGCCACCCAATTCACAGAGCACTAGGTCCTCTCTGATCCTCCTGCATGGAAGTGAGTCCACAGGCGGAGTGTCTTGCCCGGGGACACAAAGACAGCAGACATCAGTGCGAGTAGGTCTCATGGGGGAAACAAACCCACGACCATCAGGCCCTAAGACCAAAGACTCTACAAAACTGAGCCACTGTCGCCACAATGGATTTTTATCGTGCATTTTGGTTACTTTGAAATCTACACACACATTTATTTTTATTTTTTCAAGATTTTGTTCCAGGCAAACTTACACAAACATGGACACAGTTTTTATTCTTACCTGGAAGATTCTGAAATATCTCTTGGCATAAAAACCAGCTGTGGATCCCTATTCCCATGTCTATCTCTCTCATCCGTGTGTCGCTGCTCTGCTAACATTGCACTTGATTGAGTTGAACCTAAACAAACAGAGGGCTGCAGCCAGAGGGAGCAGATGTCTGGTGCTTTGAGAGCAACTGTATTCCCCTATTGTGATGCCATCTGCTGCTTCCTGCCTCTAAATGATCACTGCTTCTCTGTCAACAACCACCAAGCGTCTCCCACATCTTTTTATTTCCCTTTTCGGTGTTGTCGTCAAGATCAGCGTTGTTGTCAGGATCGGCGTTGCTGCCAGGATCGGCGTTGCTGCCAGGATCGGCGTTGCTGCCAGGATCGGCGTTGCTGCCAGGATCGGCGTTGCTGCCAGGATCGGCGTAGTTGTCAGGATCAGAGTTTCCGCTTGTTATCCCTGTCACAAACAACTTCAATGTTTTTGCCTGTTGAAATATACATGACGACATTGTTTGTTTACTAAAAGATAAAACATCCCCGGTCCCGTCTCGTGCGTCGGGGGTTGTCTGTAAACCCGTGTATTTCTTCCATGCGCCTCTTTTTGTTTAGAGAGAAAGGCAGCGCACACAAAGCACCGTGTTCAAAAGACAGTAGCGAGGAAGTCAACCGGGCTCCATTATCTGCGTGTGGGGAGGCACAGAGGGCATCGACGCCACTGTTTTTGTGTGTCTGTTTTTTCCCCTGTGTGCTTTGACATGCTGTGCGCTGCCTTTCAATGCGTTTTCCAAGGGCACTAGGGGGGCCCCAGTCTCAAAGAAAAACAATATTCTCCATTGGCCATCAGCTTATGTGCAGCGAGAAAAAAGAAGGGAAGGGAGAGAGAGAGAGAAAGAGAGAGAGAGGAGTGAAAGCATCATGACCTTTTAAGAATTCGCACTGAGAGAGGTGGCATCCCTCGGGGCCCTCGAGAGTGTGCTGCAAGCCAAGCCAATATCATGCGATTCCCCCGGAGTTTAAGCGTGCCCGGGGAGGGATCGTGACGGGTAATTTGGTATATGTGTTCGGTCGCTAACACGTGCGCAGAGCTGAAAGCCAGAGGTGTGAGGATTAGAGTAGGAGCGTAAAAAAAAAGGGTACAGCTTGTAATTCAAAGAGGAGAAGGAGGCAATAAATCGTCACAAGAGAAAGAGAGCGGTGTGTGGTAAACAAGAGGCTGAGGGGAGAGGTGTGTGGAGCAGAAAGAGTGTCAAATCTGAGGTTTCACTGGTTTTCAGATATTGTATGGTATTTTGGGAAAAAGTAATTTCACCACAATGTTGATAACAATATAATACAATTCCTGTATAGCCCTAAATCCCAACAGTAGTCATCTCAGAGAACTTAACAAAACCATTGAAATCACCGACACAGATCGGAGAATCAACAGTTAAGACTAGGGCTGTCAAACGATTAACATTTGTAATCAAGTTAATTACAGCGTAAAAATGAATCAATCGTAATTAATCGCATTTGGTTGTTTTAATGGAAAGATAAATGACATCTTTAACTTTCTGTCTTTCTGTAGTGACTATTGTTTGTTACAGATGAGGGACATTTCAAAACTGTCACAAATGCAGAATAAAATCAGGGTTAGGTGATTTTATAAGATCACGGCCTCACAACCTCTGGTGACCGGAGGGCCTGCATAAGCACAGTTGTTAGATATCTGGAACACCCACATGATGTGACTTAAACAATGACATGAATCAGAGAAATGTAATAAAACAAATACTCAACTTTGTGGTTTGTAGAGGAAGGTCTTTATGTACATATATTATGGACAGGAGTTCAGATTGAAGCGGCACATGCAGTCCGTTCAATCCAAGACTCTCTCAAATATTTACAAATGCTGCTTATATAGCTTTGGTCGACCGGGAGGAGTTAAGAAATGGTCTCCGTAATTTCCTTTTTTGGATACACAGTTCAGCTTGCATTGACTTGTCCAGTGGGATGATGTCGTCTGTCTTTCACGGTCTGTCTCCATGCTTCTGTGTCAGCATCCGATAATTTGTGAATACCTCCGGGTCTGTATTTGGTTCCCTGACCCAGACGTGAACCAATATGTTCAGAAAAAAACATACTTACACAGAATGTCATTAAATCTGTTTACTTTTGGGCACAACCAACATAAACTGGTTGTGGAAGGGAAAAATTAGGTATCCCAGCTTTAATTTAGGGAGTGCGCTTCGGGAGGAGACACGGAGGAGACCGAGGCTCCGTAGTTCAGCATCAGAGGTATTTATTGCAGGCGCAGGTTACACAAAGACACAAACACAACAAGCAGAGAATAGTCTGTAGTTATGGCGGCGCAGTCCCTCGAGACGACGGTTGTTGTGCTTTTTGCCGATAAAGATCAGATTACAGAGTACATCTGATCAATCGTGGACAGGACCTTACAGTGATCCGACTGGTTTGGGAGGGTTTTGTTCTTTGTAAATGAACTGAATGTTTCGCTACAATCTGAACACTGTAAAGCACTTTGGGTGACCTTCCACTGTAAAATGTGCCACTTACATAAATATTACTTACTTACTTATTTACAATGTGTAGCGGCTGTGATAAGAACTGGAATAAACAGTGTAGAATAATAAAGAGATTCAGAATTCAGAAAGAATTCAGAACGATTCCCCAAAAATATGATTTCATCCATTAAAAGTGAGTAATTTATAAGACCTTGTTTAATATAATTTTAAATACCCGGAAAGGCTAAATGCTAACTCACAGTAAGCTCACAGTGTTGCAATAGTAACACACTGTTCTTTTTCTTCTTTCTGTTCCTTTTCATTTGTGTGACAAGACTACAATTATTTCAAATGTCATTGTATTATTTGATGTATTGTCATTTCCACAATTGAAAGAAATAAAACAAATAGTAAGGCTAGGAAGTTTATTTGTATGGCACAGTTCATACTCAAAGCAATTCAAAGTGCTGAACAAAACCAGAATGAAACCATAACACATGACACAGTAGCTGGCACTTTGTCGTCTCTGGGGGACAATAAAGCTGAAACAGAATCAAAAATTGACCTCAACTGTTACTATGCTTCCAAAACTTAAAACCGTCAAGTCGACTGCTCTGGTAATTCTTGAGTTAAATTAAGAAAATTATAGAAACTAGGAAAGACCTTCTGCTGGTGTTCCCTCTGTTTGAAATGGATCCCATGCGTCCCACATTGTTTATGCAGACTCTGATTATTAATCAAGGTAATAAATGAAGAGTGGGTCTGATTAGCATAACGAGCATTAACTGTTGAGCGAGGAAGAGGATTACGCTCTCTGAAGGTCAACCTGATTCATGATGAAGAGTTGCCCTGGGAGCTAGCGGAGGATTAGCTTCAGAGTCCTGCGGTAAGCTAATAACAGGAACTGGAAGGTTGGGTTTATGTGGGAGTTACGCAAATTACACACAAAAAAAGTAAAAGTTTAATGATGATGATAACCTGTGTATGTAAGAGGGATCTGGGAGGGTATGGTTAGTACTGTGATGGAAAACCTCTCTAGCTAGTAGTGTCGTGCCTGGTTAGTGCTATATTGGGAGACCTGTGGAAACACCATGGGCTCTCTGAAATAGTCCTGCTCCTCACTTTCTTTTTAACATATCTTTTGAACTTCTTACAACAATGAAAATAATGAATTACTTTTACTACATTTTAAATTAATTCACGGATTAACAATATTTAGTTTCATTTGAAATGTTTTTCTCTTTGACATGTCTTTATGTCTCTCCACAGCCTCGCACCAAAGTACATCTGTGACATGTTGGTGCCAAATTAAGCAACTCTGAGGAGCACAGGGACTGGCCTCCTGCTGGGACTCTGAGGAGCACAGGGACTGGCCTCCTGCTGGGACTCTGAGGAGCACAGGGACTGGCCTCCTGCTGGGACTCTGAGGAGCACAGGGACTAGCCCCTGAGTCAGGACTCCCCATGAGGAGGCAGTGTTTCAGATTTATGCAGCTAAAATCTGGAAGTCTTCCTGAAAATGTAAGACAGACTTCTTCTCTGACAATGTTCAAATCCAGGTTAAAAACAGTTCTGTTTCACTCTGTTACAACTGAGGGACTTTATCTTCACTCTTTAATATACTGTGATTTGTTATGATTTTAACGCCTTGTGTGATTTTTTTCTATCTTTGCACTTTGAGTTGCCTTCTGTATGAACTGTGCTATACAAATAAACATGCCTTGTCTTTGTGTTCATGTGTGTGAGTTCTTTTGTGTTCAAAAAATAATTAATGATGAAAAATGTGTTTGTTTTCACACATTTTAAAACTACCACTTTGAAAAAAATGAAAAAGAACCATCAGAGAATGCTTTGCTTTATCAAATCCAAACTCGGCTACATTTCCACATAACTACTGTAACCACAGTTTAAAGCTAGGGTACCTAACTTTAAAACCACAACAATGGAACTCAGTAAGAAATTCCATGTTACTCGTTCTTCGCTCTCAGTTGGTTCTATCCATTTATGTTTATCCTCCGTCACATCTTTAGAGCAGCTTTTTCAGACAGAAAAGTGACAAAGAGAGAACCCCTCTCAATCAGCCAATCAGCTCTCAGCCCAAAGGGTCAAAGAGTGTCTCACAGGGCTTGTCATGGTTTAGGTGTATTATAATTTTAAGTTTTATGATTTGTCTGTTTTGGTCCTACTTCCTGTTGTCTGAAACCCCGCCCACATGTGTATCACCTGTGTCTTGTGAGTCTCGTATTCAAACCCTGTGTCTCCCCTCACTCCCTGTTCTGTCATTGTCATTCCACGTCTGTTTTAGTTCTTTGCATCAGTCCCTGTTTGGTTTTTGTGTGTGTTTATTCTAGAATTTAGATTTACATTTTATTAAATCCATGTTTTTACAGTTCTGCGTTTTAATTTCCTTTTGCCACATGACGGGGCTTTTACTTACACGTGTAGCAAAATACAACATACTTTATTGATGTTATAAGAACACTGTCTGTGGTCTGATTGGTCCGGCACATGTTGCGCTCAAAGTACTTTTTTGTGTCCGCTGGAATTACGACATTTCAGGCAGCCATTCGATGTGTTATGTGTCGCCTCAATGAAAGCCAGAATATTATCATCATAAGCCTGACACCTGTTAAATTCAGTGCCATGCGGTACCAGTCAGATCTGTGGAGACACTGGTACAGCTGTTTGCTCTGAGGAGTGACGCTTAGTGCTGTGACTATATGTGTTGTTTTGTGTTTGTCTTATCCTGGACCCATATACCTGTGTTCTGTGGGTCAGGGTTCTGTCGGGACAAACCATCTGTCTCGTTTGAGTAGTGAGGTACCTCAACTGGAAAGGGCAAATCCAATGCTTTGTAATGTCTTCAAAGCTGCCTGTAAAACCGCCCTGCTCTCTTCCATCCACTTGCCTTTCAAGAGAGGCCCTGCATTTTGCTTTTCTCCTACATCCTCTCATTTAATCCAATTCATTACAGTCCCCCCTCCCCTCCCCCTCCCCCTCCCCCTCCCCCCCCTCCCCCTCCCCCTCCCCCCTACACCCCCGCCCCACCATCAGCACTCAGTCGTCCAAGGAGACAAACGTCCTGCCAGAA